GTAGAGCACTAGCCTTGAGCTGAAGAGCTGAGGGACAGTGCCCAGGCCCAGAGTTCAAGCCCCACAACTACTCCCCCCCCCAAAAAAAGAGTATTCTGCTTTGGTGAAGCCAGGTCCTAAGGGTTGGATTAAGGACAAAGCAATTCCAGGAGGTTTACAATCACAATGTTTACCAAAGTTTGCCAGTGGTGCTGTAGCTTCCTTCCAAGTTAGTCTGCACTGTTGTCATTTCTTCTTACTTAAAAGACCTTCCTCAGAATCCTAAATAAACCCATCTTGATATTCAAAGACTTGAGATAGCCGAGTTTCCACGCCTTGCCTGAGGGTAAGCTTTACCTGGAATCCTTAACTGTATGGTTAATCCTATCTTTCTTTTAGTAATTTGTATTAAGTACCTCTGGGATAGACTTTGGGAATCTGTTTTCTGTAGTGTGGACTCCAAGTCATTCTTACCCTTAGGTAAATTTGGGGAGCTAATCCAGGCTTGGGCAACTCCTGTGAGTGCATTATCCCTAGGAGTTTGCAAGAAAGCCTACTGGTGCCTAAGGTGGAATCTGAAACACATATGACTATCTAGTACAGAAGCAAGAATTTAAGGTCTAACAAAACAGATCTTTGAAAAAAGTACCCTATACTTTGCAATATTGCACATACTATTTACATAGCAACATTTAGGACTCCTAAGAGCCTGGTAAATTGTGTAGGCCAAGGATTCTTGTCCTAGTTTTAGGGATGAGGAAATCCTGTCATAGCACAGCTTGTAATATTGCCAGGCAGCAAGCAAATGGAAACACAACACAAAGGAAGATGACTACTTTTGCAAAAGTATATTTTCTTTCTTTTTTTTTAATCGGTCATGGGGCCTGAACTCTGGGCCTGGGCGCTGTCCCTCAGCTCTTCAGCTCAAGGCTAACACTCTACCACTTGAGCCACAGCGCAAATTCTGTTTTTCTGGTGATTTATTGGAAATAAGAGTCTCTTGGACTTTCCTGCCTGGCTTTGAACCTTGATCCTCGGATCTCAGCCTCCTAGGTAGCTGAGAGTACAGGTGTGAGCCACCAGTGCCCAGCCAAAAGTATACTTTGTAACACAGATATTATACAAGGTTTGAAGGAATTTGGAGCCCAAATTAGATACACTCTAAAGAAAAAAGGAGTCAAAAGTTTCTCCAAGCTAGGAAATATGTATGCATTTAGAAAATTATTTTCTACAGGGCTATATACTTTTTTTTTACACTGGGTCCTCATGTGAGCTGTGCAAGTTACCTTTTCCACAACCATATACTGTACCACAAACCAGTCTGACCTGCAAGGGAAGTGCAAGCTTTGGTCATTTTGCAATACTCTGCTGCCTAACCAGTTTGTCTTTGCAAAAGCAACACATGGCTAGGTCAAGATGGAGATACCCTAATGAAGGGAGGGAGCTTATTAGGCGAGGGCTTGCCTTCCATCCAATCTGGGCCTATGTAGGGCTTATGATGCAATAGACATGAAAGATTCCATTTTATCAAATTGTATTAATGGCCTTTCTGGATCAGGCATTGTACTAGTAGCTGTGGGCTAGTTCTGAGGTATTCATAGTTTAGGGAGGAGAGAAAGGAAGACATATAAACTAGTGATTACATAAGTAAGGAAGGATTAGAAAGCAGTTGAAGCAATGATCTACTGTAGTGTAATAGAGCAAGAATTAATAGTTGTTCTGGAAGATTCTGAAGATTACTGTTTTAGGAAAGTAGCATTTGGTTAGAAAGTTGATTCCAAATTTTCTCATCACAAATATCTGCTTGTATGTGAAGTAATACATATACATGTTAATTAATTGAGATAGCCATTCTTCAATGTAGATATATTTCAAAACATCATGGTATATAACATAAACTCATTTCATTTTTCATTTGCCAATTAAAAATTAATTTTTAATCAGCTCATAAAACATTCAAAACAAGTTTAGCCTTATACAATAAGGAAGTTATTTGACTAAAAAAAGGTAGCATGTGAGCTGGGAATGTAGCTTAGTGGTAGAGTGCTTACCTGGCATGTATGAAACCCTGGGTTTGATTCCTTAGTACCACATAAACAGAAAACGCCAGAAGTGGCACTGTGACTCAACTGGTAGAGTGAGAGCCTTCAGAAAAAGAAGCTTAGGGACAGTGCCCAGGCCCTGAGTTCAAGCCCCAGGACTGGCAAAATAAAGGAGAATATCCACTGAACCTTGAAAGGTATGTAGGTATTCCAAAGATAAATAAAGATTATATAGTGAAAAAAATCTGTGACGAAAGGTATCAGAGGTCTAAGACTAAAGGATATCTAGTGGATTATTGCTTGGGGCAGGGCTGCTAGGGAGAATTCTTTGAGCCTTTTTATCTGTGGAGCAGGGACTTGTGACAATCACACCCAGTTCTTCGCTGCACATCATTAAAATTAAATTTGTAGACTGTGTAATCATTTTTCAAGAGCTTTATGAAAATTATTGATTATATAGCTTTCTTGGTGTATACAATCCAGGCTGGCCTGGACCACTCAATCTTCCTTTGTCAACTTTGTGAGCACTGGAATTGTAGGGGTGTATCATCTTACCTTTCCTTTCCAGGAGTATTTCGAGCAACCTACAGTGGGTAAGCTTTGCTGGGTTCTACTAGCATGTACAGATTGCCAGTTTATTTGGATCAGAGTTTTGGATACATCGGAAGATTATTGCAGAGATTGCATGCTGAGGGGTTGTAGAGTCAAGTGGGACTGAACCTTGTTTAGTTTTATTTTGAGATAAGGTTTTTCTATGTAGCTCAGGCTGGCCTCCAATTCAGGATCTTCCTACCTCTGCCTCCTAAAGAAGTACAAGCGTAAACCAATATACTTGACTTGAAAAGTTTTCAGTAGAACAACACAGTCATATATACATCTTAGACTGACCCCTCTGGCCGTTGTGAGGGGCTTTGTTCAGTCAGAGCAAAAAGTCAGGGGCTTAAACCGAGTCTGTAGGGCTGGAGCAGGAGGGATGATCCTAAGTCAGGTCTCAGAAGCAGAAGCAACTAGAGTTGGGTGCTCACTGGGTGCATGTGAGGTAGGGAAAGGGCTTGAGAGATTTCAGGCAACAAGGGTAACTGCCAAACAAGTGCAGTGAGAGATGAATGATGTGTGACGGTATCCAATCCCCTCAAAGTGGTGGTGGCTGGGGAGGAGCATATCAGAAGACAGAGATGAAAGAAGTTTGGAGAGTGGAAGAAATCCCAAGAGGCCAGGTGGCAACTCTAAAGCTCCGCCCCCGCCCTGGGCACGCCCTCGGCCCCGCCTTCTCTCCTCTCCCCGCCCTCTAACCCCTCTTAGCCAGTTGCGACTCATCCTCGAGGGCGGGGAGAAGTGGCATTTGAGTCCTCCCGTATCCCAGCAGGCAGTGCAGTCTGGAGAAGCTGACAAAGGAGCGGGGGAGCAGTCGCAGCTGCTATCCGAGAAACCAGTGTTGCCGAGGTGAGAGTCCCCCACTGTCCCGTCACCCACTTCCTCTGACTTGTACAAAACGTGGAAGTTACGTGGCGGAGAGCCCCCGCGGAGGGAATGACCCATGCCCAAAGCCGGAGCTTGGCTCGGTGATTGACAGCGGGGGCTCCACGACGCGGGGATGCGGGTGGGCGCTCGGGTGCAGGCACGGGGAGGGGGAGGGAGGTCATTTGTGCCCTGTCTCTGGCTGGCGATGGCCCGGCCGGTAGTACGGGCTCGGCTAGCTGTTGTGTGCTTTGGTCTTGCCAGGCGAAGGCAGACTCCGGAACGTCACGGTGTCTGCCTGGCGGAGTTCGGTGTTGCCCCGGGGACACGGCTCCCAGGGACAACTCTCGGGCGGACGTTGCGAGGAGGGCTGGGGTGGGAGGGAGGTTGATTTCTTGTCCCGGGTGTCACTGTTCTCAACCTTTGTCCAACCCAGCCGGTCCCCTCGAGTGAGCAACTGGAAGGAAATGGGGTGTGTGTGTGTGTCGAGGTGGAGGGGGGGGGAGCTGCAGCCAGGAGTCCCGGGATAGCTTAGCTCAGCTCACTTTGCCTGGAGGGAGATGAAAGAGAGGGGGTGAGAGGCGGGGGAGGAGAGTGATCGCCTTTTTGGAATAAAAGGGGGACGCAGGGGGAACATGACCTGTATCCTTCCCTCCTTCCCTGGACCTCCACTCGGATTCTGATGGTTGCACCAGCTGCTAGGCTGTAAACAGGCTCACATGACCGGTTTCACACGGAGCCCGCCGGGGTGGTAACTGGGCTCGCAAGGCTGGGCCTCAATCAGGTGGGGCTGATGTCTCAGTAAAGAAGGCTTTAATATTCCTTCCTGAAACAACCCTTCAGGCTCAGTGGTTTCCCCTTTGGGGACATAAACTGACATCTGTCCTCTTCAATTGAAGTAGCATTTCTGCCCCAGTACAATCGACCACTTTACTTTGGGGAACAAGGGAACAAATAGTAAGTGAAAACAGTCCCAGTCTTTTGACCTTTCAGGGAAATAAAAGGTCACAAAACCTGGCAATTTGGATTCTTCACATTCTGCCTAAAAAGTAGTCCTGTTCTTTCACAACTCATTGTGTTCTTAAATGTGAATAACAGGCACAGGGGAAAGTCTACTTTTTCAGGCAAGGCAACACATGCGATTTAATACACAGTTGATGATGAAAATCTTGTCCACACACTTCCTGTAAGTATTGGGAAATCTCTTTGCCTATGAAATACCACATTCAGGAAATTGAGTAAGGGGTGAACACCAACTTTTAGATTACACATATATTTGATATAAAGCAGTGGGAAATTTGAAAAACAGGAAACAGGGCCAAATGTGTCTTCCTTTGTTCACATCTATATAACCAAACAGGATGTGAAATTAATCTGCTTTCTAAAGGTTTATAGAACTCTCAAAGCAACATTTACTGAAATACCAACATATTTGAAAGTTTAGAATTTCCCAAATCTGTGAAAGGTAATTGTGATACATGCCTATATATGTAATATGGCACTAAATATAAAAGACAGAAAGTATAAAGTAACCTTTTTTTTTGTTAGTTATGGGGCTTGAACTCAGGGCCTGGGCATTCTCCCTAAAACCAGTTTGATTTCAAGGCAAGCACTCTAACTTTTGAGCCACGGTTCCACTTCTGGTTTTCTGGTGGTTTATTGGAGATAAGAGTCTCACATACTTTTCCTGCCCAGGCAGACTTTGAACCACAATCCTTAGATCTCAATCTCCTGAGTAGCTAGGATTATAGCTGTGAGCCACTGGTGCCTGCTTAAAGTAACCTTGTATAGTCACACGTAAAGAACTTTATTTTCTTTAGAAAATACAACAAATTGTACAGAAAACAATACGTTTTTCTTCCTTAAATTATTCCTGTATATTTTTCATCAATTTTATACTGTTTTCCCCAGAGTACATATATGTATTTAATTTATTTTAATTAATTAATTAATTTTTGTCGGTTGTTGGGCCTGAACTCTGGGCCTGGCACTGTCCCTCAGCTCTTCAGCTTAAGGCTAGTGCTCTACCACTTGAGCTATAGCGTCCGCTTCAGTCTTTCTCTGCTTATGTGGTGCTGAGGAATTGAACCCAGGGCCTCATGCATGCAAGGCAAGCACTTTACCACTGAGCCACCTTCCCAGCCCCAGTACTTTTATATTTAACTCCATTTTCAGTAAATTTTTGGGGGGGAGGGGAATATTGGAATCTGAACTCAGGGCTTCACACTTCCAGGCAGACACTTTCCCTCAAGTCATGCCTCCAGCCTATAAACCTAAAATAAAAAGCTACCCCAGAAGTGGCACGGTGGCTCAAGTGGTAGAGCAATAGCCTTGACCTGAAGAGCTGAGGGAAAAGTGCCTAGGCCCAGAGTTCAAGCCCCGTGATCAACCAAAAAAAAAAAAATAAAGCTACCCCATTCCTTACTAAATGTAATATTCTATTTTTTCTCTTATTTTTTATAAAAATATTTAAGATGGAAAATAGAGATCAAATCTTTCCAAAAGGTAACAAACTTGATTGCTAGTGTTCCTGTGAATCTTATTTTGCCACCTTAGAGCATTTGGAAGACTCTTGCCCTACAAGAAATAGATTTAAGTGATTTACTCATTGAAGCCTTCTATTTCCTCATCTGTACTATAAAGTTTTTTGTTTCTATCTCTAAGGGTTCCCGTACCTCTCAAATTCCCCAAAGGAGTGCAGTTTTTGATAGGATACTATTTTTGGACAAATACTAACTTGGTCAAATAAGCTAAGACATCGCTAACAACTAAAGAACATGCAGTAACAAGAGGTATCCAAGGTCATTATAGAAATAGGAATTGCATCCTGAAAAATTCTCATTAGATGAATTTGACCTACCGGTTGACCTGTACCTCTGTCTTCCTCAGGAAATTGAAGATGGCCTCGGCTAAATCATACCTCCCAAATTAGAAATAACAGCTCCACTTGACTTTCTTGACCTTCAGGGCATAGTATAAACTCTACTTTCTTTCACTCATTCTGGCAAAGCAGGCTCTGTGATTTTTTAGTCATGAAGTTAGAACAAAAGGATAAGGTTTCTAGAAGGATCTCTCTTTGATGGTTCCTTGGTTAGACCACCAGAACCATTGTCTGCTGTTTAGCTCTTCAAGGTTCAAACTTTAGTTTTTGTCAGCACATCCCCAAATAAATAGTGAGAAATGAAACTACCAAACAGACCAAGAGGCTCCTATGCAAGCCAAGACATCCTTTGCTCTTGGTTATATGGACACACTTAGAAAATTGCTCTCCAGGAGCTGGAGACCTTTTTCTAGGGTCCACATGGAATTACTTCTTCCAACCCTTGCAGTTGATTCAGCAAAATCACATGCTTAGTTTTTCATAAAACCACTTCCTTGACACCTTTGTACAACTATATTCTAGTCACCTGACTGAACTTTGGTCACGTCTAAAACATCTCAGATCTGTTTCTTCTCCATTCCATCTCCCTTAGACTAAGCTTTCATCATCTCTTCATTGTCAAAGTCATCCAACAGAGATGTTGGTGGTGGTTGTACGGCTTGAACTCCGGGTTGTTGGGCTTGAACTCATCTGTCCCTGAGGTATTTTGTTTAAGGGTAGTGCTCTACCACTTTGAGCCACAACTCCTTGAGTGGCTAAATGGAGATAAGAGTCTCACAGGGACTTTTTTTTACCAGGGCCAAGTGATTGATCATATATATATATATATATATATATATATAAAATGTATGCTATATATAGTATATACATATATATATATATATATATATATACATACACACACACGCACACACACACACACACACACACACACACACACACATATACATAAACAATAAACTGTAACTAGCCTCAGGTCAGATGTTGTGCTTGGGTCAACGGCCAGAATGCCTGCTTCCAATCTCTCCAGGTAGTTTCCTGTTTAAAACCATTCAGAAGTTATACACTGTAGCAGCAGCTCTCAAAGACTGTTGTACCTGAAAGTCACCAAGAGGGCTCATTAAAAACACAGATGGCTGGGCCCCAGTCCCAGAATTTCCGATTCAGTTGGTCTAGCGTGAAAACTAAAAATTGCCACTTGTAACAAGTTCCCAGGTGAAGTAGCTCCTGCTGCCCCCTTGAGAGCCATCCTCATAGGGACTCCAGCTGAAACCTCCAAATCACGTTCTGTTTCCCATTGTGCTTTCAACTCCCTTCTTGCCACTCCTCCATACATGGTGATAATTTCCAACCAAGGACAGGGCCAGTGCTCACTGCATGTGTCCTTTCTATGCCTCAACACAAATTCTTCCTGGACTCTACCCCTGTCTCTGCTCCTGTCACAGAATCCTGTTTGATAGGGCACCCTGTCACGCTCCCAGAGTGCTTTGTGTCTACTGGCATTTGAACACAGCATCTCATATCCTGCTGGGCTGAGGTATTGGAAGGGTGATATCTCATTGTCATCTTTTTATCTTTATGTTGTCTACTAGCATGGGGCCTGGCACATATAACATACATATATAAAGAGCTGAATAAATGTTGACCAAGTTTGAGATTTTTTTTAAACTTCTGAGACTGACATATGTACAAAATATGTATTTCATGTAATGAATATAGATGCGATTTTCAGAATTGCACCTATATCTTGAAATGACTGAAGGTTTGAAATCCTAGAAGTAGCATATGATAGGGGTAGTATTTTTTAAAATGTATTTCTCTAGGGCATTTTATTTGTTTTGCAGTATTAGAGATTGACCCCAAGCAATGCCACTAAGCTATGCCCTCAGTCCTATGATGATTTTATTTTATTTATTTATTTATTTTTGCCGGTCGTGGGGCTTGAACTCTGGGCCTGGGCGCTGTCCCTCAGCTCTTCAGCTCAAGGGGAGCGCTCTACCACTTGAGACACAGCACCACTTCCAGTTTTCTGGTGGTTTATTAGAGATAAGAGTCTCATGGACTTTCCTGCCCAGGCTGGCTCTGAACCGTGATCCTCAGATCTCAGCCTCCTGAGTAGCTAGGATTACAGGCGTGAGCCACCAGCGCCCGGCCCTATGATGATTTTAATTAGTTAAAATTATTGTTGTTTTTGATACCAGGTCTCACCATCTAGCCAAGGCTGGCCTAGAACTCACAGTCCTCCTGATTTCACCTCTTGAGCACTAGTATTAGGTATGTAGCACTCATTTTTTTCTAATTTATTTTATTGTTGTTTTAGAGGTGATACACAGTGGGGTTACATTTACATACGTCAGGTAAAAAGTACATTTTCCTTCACATAGTGTCATATGTTCTCTCATTCTCTCCCATTCCCTCCCTTCCTTCCCTCCCTCCCATCTCCTTCCACAAGTTGTATAGTTTCAGTGCATTCCACCGCTACACTCTCCCACCCTTTCTCCTCTGATTTGAGCCCTTCTCCCACCTTCCCACAGATGTGTAGATGCAGATGAATAGGTCTGTAGCACTAATTGTTTTGCCAGTCCTGGGGCTTCAGGGCCTGGGCACTTTCAAGGCTAGCACTCTACCACTTGAGCCACAGAGCCACTTCTGGCTTTTTCTGTTTATGTGGTACTGAAGAATCAAGTCTAGGACTTCATGCATGCTAGGCAAGCACTCTACCACTGAGCTACATTCCCAGCCTATAGCACTAATTTTTGTTTTTTGGTCAGTCATGGGACTTGAAGTCTGGGCTTGGGTGCTGTCCCTGTGCTCTTCAGCTCAAGGCGAGCACTCTACCACTTGAACCGCAGTGCCACTTCTGGTTTTCTAGTGGTTTATTGGAGATAAGAGTCTCACGGACTTTCCTGCCCTGGCTGGCTTTGAGCTGGCTTTGAACTGCGATCCTCAGATCTCAGACTCCTGAGTAGCTAGGATTACAGGCGGGAGCCACCGGTGGCTGGCTTGTAGCACTAATTTTTTTCAAAGGGTCTGGCAAACTGTACATAGTGGCCTTGAACTTGAAATTCTCCTATATCAAGCTCCCAAGAAGTTGAGATTACAAGTGTAAACCACAGCACCTGGGTATTGTTTTTTTTGGGGGGGTTCACAGCACCTGGCTATTGTTTTTTTGGGGGGGTCCGGTTGTGGGGTCTGAACTCTGGGCCTGGGCGCTGTCCCTCAGCTCTTCAGCTCAAGGCTAGCACTCTATCACTTGAGCCACAGCGCCACTTCCGGCTTTTTTCTTTTTGCCTATGTGGTGCTGAGGAATCGAACCCAGGGCCTCATGCATGCAAGGCAAGCGCTCTACCACTGAGCCACCTTCCCAGCCCCATTGTTTTTAAAATTTAAAAAGAATACTACTCAAGTTTTACACCTTGAACATGGAATAGCCTACAACTTCATATCATTAATAGCTGTGAAAGCCCTGACTTTAGTAGCACACCAGCCATTTTAAAAGGATTAATAAGCAATAATAGAAAATCAAAGAAGAAGGGAGCCGAGGTGTGTGTGTGTGTGTGTGTGTGTGTGTGTGTGTGTGTGTGTGTGTGTGT